GAAGAAAATGTTGCAGACGAAGCACAAAATATACATCTGGTTTTAAAATCAAATGTGTTGTTGTCAGATCTTAAATTTCTAAGTGGATCTACATTCAAAGCTTTAGTTATAACTTCTTTATTTTTGCGACGTGTGTAATCTTTTCTACACTGGACATGCACCTTGTCTCCTGGCTTTACATCGACTACACTGAAAGTACTGTCATTAATATTTTGTATGCCACTACACCCTTTCAGTCCAAGTCGAACAACTGGTTTACCATCATTAACATCCTCTTGACAAATGGGACATTTCTCCATCTACAACCGAACAGGAATTGATATAATTAGAATAATTTCTCAACGTATAATATATGTAGCAAAACTGTGTGTGCTAACATATTATGTTTTGTTTTGCTTTAATCTGGTCAATCAAAAAATAGAAAATGTTTGTAAAAAACCTTTTAACAGATAGTTTATAATATAATAAATATTATATACTTGTATCCTCATGTTTAAAGGCTGATTTCATTAAGTTTACATCGTATTTATTACATACAGCTGTTCTTTGTTTCATTATGAGCTATAATGGTTGTAAAAATTAGGCAAAATGTATCCTTACGTTTTTTACTTCTTGTCCATCAAAGATTCAGAAAGATATAAAGGCTAAACTGCAATACCTGAAATTAAAATGAAATCTTAATTTTATCATGAAATGTGTGATTCTTACATGTATAAATTAATCTACTTAATAAAAATCTCACATTACATCATCAGACCTCGTATAATAATTCATTTCATGAAATAAAAGCAGACGTTTTGATGCACAAATGCATTAGACAAAAGTAAAGCAATATTTAACTTACATTCAATTACTTGGATTGGAAGACATCACTACTATTTTTTCTATTTCAATCTGACTGCACACACCTGATGCAAATTATCACCTTTAATATAAAACAAATACATAAAATTATTCCTTTTCAGAATGATTTTATCCTATGTTTATACAAAAACTTATTGAAATAATAGCTGATTCTTTGCAGATGAGAACTTTATATTAACTGGTAACTTAACTAATACCATAATATTAAACATTGAAGTTAAAAATTTAGTATGCAGCAAATTTGACTTGTGAAATAAAGTTGCTATTTAGGTGTTTCATAAAAATGCGACTTGTCTAATATGAAGAAAATTTTCATTGAACAACGTGGAACTTAAGTTACTTGAAAATAAATAAAGTACTTGACTTGAATAACTTTAGATAACTAGACTTACATTTTCCAGTTTAATTAAGTTATCTCTTCTAAAGTTTTTCATTTTAATATTTATTCACATACAATGCAAATTTTCCACCTGAAATAAACAAAACATTTAATATAGTCAATATTTTACATTTTTGTAGATATTGCACGAGCTTATTTATGACCTATCTGCGCTTCCGTAGAAAAAAAATTGGAACAGACCCTGTATTATCATTGCATTTCTTGAAATATTTTACGATATAAATAAAGCATCTACACACCATTATTCTTTATAAGCACTATAAGTATTATATTTTATCTAAGATGCCGATTTACTTCGCATTTAAGATACTATTGACTGAATGAATCTTCCTTTATATGCTTGATTTGTTTCGGCGTAACACTAAACAGACGAATATAAAGTCTTAAAAAAATAGTTACGTTAATATTTATACTGCAAACTATAATAGTTGTTAAAATAAATGATAAAATAACATAATTACCGTCAAAATAAATCCAATCCATGTAAAACACAAAATTCTTTAGGATTTTAAACAAAAGGCCGCCATGTTACTTGTTGTGTGACGTCACTAAAACCCGCGTGTAAACAAATATTTTTCGTATGGTGTACAGTAAAGAACACAACCAAAATTGCAATTTAATTTCAAAATAAATGTCGATTTAAAAGTTTTCTGCATAGAATTTTTTTTGGGACTTTTTATGATAAACATAACAATATCATTGCTTTCGCATGACACAAAAAGAATTTCTGTTGCAATTAGTTCTATCCCATACGCTTCTTTTATCGGACTAGTTCTGCACGTCATCTTGATGTGGTAAACATTTGTCTGAAGTTTCATCAAAATTCTTCAAAGGGTTGAAGAGTTACAGAGCGGACAGGATTTTCAATGTTAATGTCACTGTGACCTTGACCTTGGAGCCAGCCATGCGGAACATGCGTTCTGCACGTCATCTTGATGTGGTAAACATTTGTCTGAAGTTTCATCAAAATTCTTCAAAGGGTTGAAGAGTTACAGAGCGGACACAATTTCGTTTGACGCCCGCCCATCCGCCCATCCGCCCAGCCGCCCATCCGCCCATCCGCCCGCCATACCCCAATCTAATAACCAGGATTTTCAAAATTGAAAACCTGGGCTGCGTTTCATGGAGAGTCCTAAGTTAATCCTAAATCCTAGGACTTATGACCAACTTTAGGAGAAAAAGTTTTTGCACTTAAGACCGTTTCAAGTAACTGTCCTATCTTTGTCCTAAACTTAAGACGTATGACCAATTCGCTCTCCTGAAAAAAGTTATAAAATACAATGGCATGCGCGGTTTCGCGCTACATTGTGACGTCATGTAAACAACACTTTAAACGTCTGGCGTTAATGACTGAATTAAAGGTATTGGTGTTAGAATTTATTTTCTTAGTTAGACCATTTTCTATCATTCTAGATAGTTTTCAGAACAAAATTCAACAAAAAATTGTTTTTTTATTTATCAGATTTTTAAACAAAATGGCAAAAGAAGTCCCTTAAAATAAATATGAGTTTTGACTCCGCCCACTTTCATATTTGTATTTCATATTTATATTTTACAAATATGAAATATATTTGACTGATATTAAGAGGATATTTCTTCGTTTGAGTGAATATGGAATATATTTTCACGAAACATGATAAAATGCCATATATTTTCACGAGCCGGGACGGCGAGTGAAAATATGAGGCATTTTATCATGTTGAGTGAAAATATATACCATATTTCTCGAAAAACGAAAAAATAACCTTTTTATTTAATTTCATTATCAAAGAAAAATGGTTATGAACCCCCTTGCCTGCTACGCAACTGCAATTATACAGCGCGCAGTAATATAAGTATCGTCTTGTTTTGCACGCGATATTTAGCGCTAGATTGTGACGTCACGTAAACAACTTTTTAAACGTCTGTACAGCGTTAATGACTGAATTAAAGATATTGGTGTTCGGATTTATTTTCTTAGTTAGACCATTTTCTATCATTCTAGATAGTTTTCAAAACAAAATTCAACAAAAAAGTTGTTTGTATTTATCAGATTTTCTAAACAAAATGGCGAAAGAAGTCCCTTAAAATAAATATGAGTTTTGACTCCGCCCACTTTCATATTTATATTTCATATTTATTTTTAAAAAATATGAAATATATTTGACTGATATAGCACCATATTTCATAGGTAAAATTAAATAAAGCACCATATTTCATGTGTAAAATTAGATAATTCTCAATATCCCCTGTCACTAAATCGGTGATTTGCATGATCGGTTCTTTTTGGAAATTTATACAGTATCGAGAAGTCGATTCCTCGTCAGTATAGACGTCCAGCGCCTGTGACATATCCCCGGCGCAGGGGCCTCCGTCTTTAAAACACTACCATGAACGCTGCTATCTTTGATTTTAGAGTGGTTTTGACTTAGGACAATCTTAAGATACCTTTAAAACACTCCTAGACTTAGGACTGTTTTTGGTCATAAATATAGGAGTCATAAGTTAGGACCTTTTTTAAGACTTTCTTTGAAACGCAAAATTGTCTCAATTTTTATCTTAGGACCGACTTAAGACTTAGGACTCTCCATGAAACGCAGCCCTGGTTAATAAATATGTTACTGCAAAATGAAAACCCACAAATTGACTGTAGATATTGTAACACAATGAAAAGTCTCTAAATCCAAATGATTCTGTATAATTACCAGTTCTAATACTTTCTGTGTCACCCCATGACTATAACAAAGTGTTAACTCATGTCAATGGTTATGACGTACTGAAGGCTTAGGGAATATTTCTCCATTTCGGATAAGGGCCTAGAGTATCCATTTAAAGCCAAATATTATACATTTTTGCAACCGCAAACCTGTGTTCGCAGTAACAAAAAATGCTGATCTCTTACTGAAACATCACACTATATAGAAACAACTATTGAACGCCTGTACTGTCTTATGATAAGATTGACTTATATACATGGTTAAATGTCATTCTGTTCAGTCTGAGATACACTACTGCTGGGCCTAAATCTAATATGCTGGTGAAAATCCCAATGTGTTCAGTTATTGAAGTGTTGTGTTGTGGGCTGATAACATTTTCTTCAGCTAAGTTAATGTATTGTCGGGTGATTTGGTCATTATGTTCAGTTCTTAAAACAAACAGGCATGCGGCATCAAAATTATGTTCAGTTAAAAAGATATAATGGGAGGTGTCAACCATGACAATAAACAGTTGAGTGGTTTTATCATTTTGTTTGCGTGAGACCGTGTATTATTGGGTGATATTTTAATTATTTTCAGTTGCAATGACTGCTGTTTGGTTTATTCTGTCCAGTCGTAAAAGAGAACAGTTAAATGATAATAACATTATTTTGTGCGCTGGTTATATCCTCTTTAGTTAAATAAATGTGATGTTCGGTGCAAAGGTCGTTATGTTCAGTTATTAAAATAATATTTTTTGTTACTATCATGTTTAGTTCAGATCATATACTATTCGGTGCAGAAGTCATAATGTTCGGTAGTGAACACAAACTGTTGTGTGATACTGTCATTTTGTTAAGTTCAGATGTCATTATGTTCAGTTAAAATGATATGCTGTTGGGTACAACTGACATTATGTTCAGTCATGTAAACGAACTAGTAAGAGTTGACATAGTATTCAGTTGTTAATATGTCGTGATATCTTTATGTTCAGGTAGAGTATTATGCTTTTGAGTGGTTAAGCTATTGTGTTCACTGGTAAAAATTTACTTCTGAATGATAATATCATTTTAATCTGCTGCGTTTGCAGTAATGTTATTATGCTTGGTTATTAAAACATGATGTTCTGTGATGAAATTGTTACGCTTAGTCTACTTAATGTTATTGGTGCATCTGACAATCTGCTAAGTGGCTATAAATTTATATTGGGTTCATTCGGATATCTTCGGGTCAAACATCTTACTGTTGGAGGGAGCGACTAATTTCAATTGGTCACGTCGAGGCTAATGACCACTAAATTGCCAAAACAATTTTTCATCGGGGGTTTCAAAACGTTATTTTCATAAATCGGACAGGTCGTATGGCATTTTAAATACCCAAAGGGTTCACATGGCCACAGTTTATGGAACATTAAGCATAAGTAAGGGAAGCTTAATAAAGTCACACGTGGTCAAAGTATAAAGAACATTCTTATGTAAGTAAAGCAAACCTTATTGAGTCACTCATGGCCCCAATATATGGACCATTTTAATGACTTAGTATAAGTAAGTGGAACCTAATGAGGTCTCACGTTGCCACAGTATATAGAACATTCTTTATAAGTAAGGGAAACCTATTTGAATCACACATGGCCACAATATATTGATAATATTATATGAGTAAGGGTAGCCTATTAAAGTCAGACTCAAAAATGGTTCATTAAGCGGGTTTTACAACATTTTACAAGAGAACTGCTGCTTTAAAGAAATACGTGCTGGAAAAAAACTATTAAATTCTTTTTCTAAAACAGGCATACATTTCTCGCTTCCCGTAATATGTGACATCAATTTGAATTATATTGATTCTTATTACATCATTTGAATAATAATAAATAAAAGACAGACGGCTCCACATTAGCTAATCAACTTGCATGCGAAATGTTGGGAGATATTGCCAAATGTATTCAAGTCTATCAATTAAATATATTAAATAAATTGAAACAATAATAAAATACAAACTAATGCATATTTAAAATGCAATTACCATTAGTTTGATGGTTTGAAGCATGACACATTAAATGAGTCACGCCTAAATTGCAAGCATATTAATTTCCTAATCTGTTTATATTGATATTAAGAGAAGCTGGACAGTTTAAGGCAAGGAGACAAGTTGTAAGACAAATCATAGAAACAATGGCGTTTATTGGAGCTTTGGTTTATCTTTTCTTTATTGCTCAATATGGGCTAAATGGAGCACTAGACAATTTCAACAAATTTGTTATGGATGATACGTTAAAAGGGTATATATGTTTTGATGAGAAAATAGTCTTTGATATAACAAACGGTAAATCGGTATGTGCACTCAGATGTTCGATGGACCTTGCTTGTTCTAGTATCATATACTATCCTGATACCGGCAAGTGTATTGGTTGTACTTCCTTTACAGGAGTGAATGATCCTTTACAGAACAATTCAGTCTTCTACAAGCGAGGATGTAAGTCTATTTTTGTCTTAAACCATTTGCCTTTAGTGTCCTAAGTGACATTATACAAGTAATTGGAAGTCTGTTTGATTCATTGACTAAACTTCTGAGATGTGTTCACTTTATTTTTCCCTTTTCTATTATTAACTAATAACACATCTTAACATTCTCATTGTAAACGAATGTATTTTTTACCAGAATCATATTGTATTTAGTGTAATAATGACCACGTGACTTGATAAGTGTATAATAATATGTCAGTTCTGTTCTCCAAAAACATCCAAGGGGTTTTATCTGTTTGAAATTAAACAGCTTCTGTTTTTTTCTGTGTTTGAAAAGTGCAGTGATGTAGTTGTCACAAAAGGGTTTAATCATTATCAGAGACTGTCATGCAATCAGAGCTTCGATATAATATCAGAATGTTGTTTTAGGACATAGTTCCAATCTTTCAGCTGAAATGGAGGTGTAAAAGGACTGTTGATTGTATGTCACCGGTTTATAATATAATTCACAATCATTTTCCGAAACAGAAAAAACAATTTTCATTTAAAGATTTTCGAAAGTACATGTATGATAACGCTATTCGCGCGATTTTAGTGTTTTCACTTTGAGAAGGGATGACTAAATGTGATTATTTAAAAAAAATGTTCATTTAGACATGATTGAATATTATTGCATGGACGATGGCCTGAAACGGTCCGAAAAAATTGCAATCGATTTTTGTGAAATTTGCCTTTAATATTTGTTTCTTTTTACAAAGCTATATTTAGTGACTAAGTTACTCTTTAAATGTAGAAGAAAACATTAAAATGTTACTTTCAACAATCGTTTGCTTTAATAATTCCACGAGTGATAACAATGGTAATTGTGTCAATTAAGTAGTTAATTTGTGTCAACTTATCAATCTTTTTCCTATTGAATTCAGTTCAATACCTCGGCTGCTATGACGACAGACCAAGAATTCTGATAGAATACAATGTTCAGAAGTCTTCAAGTCAATCAACGGAAAATTGTGTAACACGTTGTCGGAACCAGGACGCATCGTTTTCAGTAACGGAAGTAAGTATTGAAGTAAGGAATTGTAGTATGTTTTGATATCAATTTTAAATACCTCTTTAGCAAGAAACAAAGTCAAGGAAACTAAACTAACTTTCACTTAATTCCATGACAGATGTTGTCAGGGCTTTGGGTTTGATTATTTTTGGCTGCATGATGGCTCATTGTTTTTTTCCTGCACAACAGTAAAATATAAAAAAAATCCTTTTTGTGTTCATTTTTTTCTGCATTTCTCGCGGAGAGGAATTCAACTACATTGTACAAATCCATTATTTTTTTAGGACTTTCGTCACCAAATACATTTGCCAGATTTTGTGTGTGCTTTTGTGTGTGAAATTGCAAACCTTTTCTATTACATGTAGGTAAAATAAGAGAAATAAATGTACAGTTACGCCGCATATATATATCTCAACGAATAGAGCTTTTCAGTGAGCTTTATTCGTCGATACCTTACTACAACTGCAAAAAATAGCTCCCACACAACGTTAATATGCGGATAAAGTTCCAAAGTATAAAATTGCATTAAATATTTTTGGCTTATGTTTCTGTTTTTCATATACAAGGGGTGTTTAAAAAATAATGTCATTTGCCTTTGTTTTCCTAAACTAAAAGTATTTTCATCATTTTAAATTACGCTAAGCCTAAAATTACTCAACGCCTACCTGAATACACCTTCTGAGTCGCTCAATCTAACTTTGAAACAAAGTTCATACTTTTTAATAGGAGACACTTAAGAGGTATTGATAAACAGCAGACCCAAGGCATTTCTCGACTTGTATCTCTTTCCAGACAGTTGGAAATTGAGTTTTGGAAACAAGAAAAAGTCACAGTGGGCCAAGTTTAATGAATATGGAGGATGCTGAGGGACAGTTACTTTTTTGATGCCAGTCACAATCCTAGCCTTATGGGCGGGACCATTATCATGTATAATCCGGAGGTACTTGATTCCTGTGGTTGGGCGTCGGCGTTTGTAGAAGGACTTTTTTCAGAACAACATTTTGTAGAACTTTGTTGCTACTTTTCTGACTTTTGGTACCGAATTTGCATTACTGGTCCCTTATTATCAAAGAAAATCACATATAAAACTTTGGACGTTTTGCATATTATTCGCCCAAATTTCATTAAAACATTACCGCTTTGGCTCAAAATAGTAAACCTATGACTCACCACCAGTAACTAAGTTTTTTCCTAAATTTAGTATACATTTTGAGAAGCTTCTGCATTTTAACACGGGATCTCTTTTGTTCGTCTGTTAGCAAATTGGGTATCCATCTTGCATTTATTTTCCGAAGTTTAAGATGTTTCTTTAAAATACCATGAACTCAGGCTAAAGACAAATTCGTCAACCGTGCTAAATCCCTCACAGTGTATTGGGTATCCTTGTTCAGCATATTCCTGTTTTTTTTTCTATGTTGTTTTTCGTCGTTGTTGTTGCGAAACGACCTTGGTGAGTAGCATCTTTGACTTGCTGCTGACCGGTTTTAAGTTGAGCAACCCACCTACAAAAAGATATGTGACATTTCACCATCCCCACCTCACGGTAAATATCTACAGGCTTTATGCCGAGTAATGTCCGACCTTTTAAGTATGCCCTAATATCAAGTACATCTTTAGCTCTTTTACCAATAATTTCATGTATAGTGTAAAGCAATGTACACTGTATCAAGCTCAGTGCAATTGTGAACGAGATTTCACCTGTGTAATGCTTCAGTGGTTATTCTATCGGTTCGAAGTGGCACACGATATTTACAAGATGATGCACAAATGACATTATTTTTGGAACACCCCTCGTACAACAAACAGGTCTTGTTTTTTAATATTGTGCATTACCATCATAACAATCATTATCATCATACAAATCATCATCATCATCATCACGACCATTATAATCATCAATTCATCATCACGACCATCATTATCATCGAAACATCAACAATAGTAAATTATCATCATTAACAGTCCATTATCAAAATCATCATCAACAACCACAATATATCATTGTTATCATCAGAATGTTATCACTATTATGATGATGTTTTTAATGACGATAGACGTGATGATGTTTTGATGTTGATGATGATCTTAATAATGTTGATGGAAAAGATAATGGAGTTTATAAGTTATGATTTTTCCTCCACCAGTGAAGCTGGAAAGTCGCCCTATCAACTCTTCTGTGTTGGCGCGACGTAAATCCCAACCAAAAATATACTTCTATAACAGTATGCCACTGAATGTTGGTGCGGTACAAGTGTCAATTTTACCATCGCTGAGAAGGTGTCCGAGTCAGAATGTAGCTGGAGTTGTTCAGGCAATACGAGTCAGAAATGTGGGGCCGCCTCCATAGGTTCTCTATACCGGACAGGAGTTTAAAAAAATAATAAAGGCATAACATATTTTGATATCGTTATTACACTTTAAAGTACGTCCGAATGATTTAGACCGTTATGTGTATTCATTATTTATCGGTATACTAGTAACTGTTTTGAGATTGATCCTGAATTTTTATATGCATTGATACAATGTATAAATGTTTTTTTAAGATCCTGGTTTTATTTAATAAGCATTGATTGATTATCGGTATAACTATTTAGATGTATCAAATTGATTGAGTCTCATTCCCCGAAAGAACTAATACTTCAATTCGTTCCAGTTACAGGTGTAACGTTGCTATTGTCCCAAAATTTTATTAAAATATGTATCAGAATTAATTAATTAATTAATTAATTTTCTATTAAATGCAGAACGTTTTTAGGATACCAGTATTTCAGTATATCAGTAATTTGAATGCTCAGAAAAGTTTCAAACTTGATACAAAGCTGTATTGGCAATCGCTATTTTTACAATAATAAAACACATGAACACATTTCGTTCAACATTTTGAAAGGCACATTATGCCTCACACACACAAATAAATCTTTTTTTTTAGAAAGTTAAAACATGTATTTTATAATATTAAGATAATAGTTTTAGACCATGTAATATGGTTATTATCGCCCGAATAAAATAGCGCTGAATGCGAATTTGTGTTTGTCATAAAATTAGCAAAATACAAACAAAGTAAACTCTTGTTTCCATACAAAATACTAAATAACTTTTACTAACCTAATCATCGTAGTTAATAGTTCACATAACTGGCCAAAGTAGATTAATGGAAACTAGAACAGGACATTTGAAATGAAAAAAGCTTTTGAGAAATAGAAATTAAAGCATTTCTTGGGCATAATTGGCCTTTTAAGGTAAAAACAATAGAAGTGCCGATGTCTAGCGAGTCATGTTCATATAAATTATTCAGCTCATCAGATGACGTTTATATACGTCATTTAGTTTATATATTATTGATGTAACACATACATTAAATTTTATATTGTTTTTTTTTATTTTCTATTGAAATTATTGTGCACAAAGTCAGACAATGTCGTCAAAACCAACAGGCACGAAAACAATATCAATAAACCCACACGCTTTGATCTTTTATTTCAGTTAATAAAACAAGTTTACAATCTATATGAAGCAATTTTATTATTGTGTACATAATTTACTGTTCTTGTCATACGAAACTAATTATTATAGTATTTTTTTTTTTAATTTCAGATATGGATTAATTTCCAGTGCTCTTTATAACTTTTAATAAAGAAAGAATTATTGACAATATGTGTTCCAATACAACAGAGGCTATTCAGTTGATGGACATAGAAATAATCAATTTAAGGTATAACCACGTTAAATTACTGTTATAAGGAATTGGGACACATGCATGCAAAATGTAAACAAAAATTACCGTAAGGATACTTTTTCTGAATAAAATCTTGGTTATTAGAAGGGCTTTTTTCATGAAATAATCAGCCTTATGAAAATTGATTGATTTCCCTATTGATAAGTGTTAAGAAACAAATTATAACACTCAACTAACAAACAAACGCCTGAAGCAAAATGATTTTTTCTCCTTTAAATGTTTGAAAAAAGTATAATACTGATACCCTACCTTACAATCCGTAAAATTTACCCAAATGTACTGTTTGCAACATTGATTAAAATACTTAAGAAATTATTAAACTTTTCCTTTCAAAAAGGGAACCGAATATTATATGAATAATGTTAAATGAAAAAAAAGTTGACCCTCCTGATGGTTGAACGCACGATCCTCAGTTTCAATGCAGTTGACATTATTTGTAACCTATTTAAATACTCTTCAAAACTTAGGCAATGCATTAGAATGGTCATACATTATTTCAAATCGTTCTAGTTATATTCTGATATTTAAATATGATTTTGTTAATTATTCGATAGTCTGTATGCTTTCTTTTAAATTATTTGTCATAAAATATAATTGAGAATTCAACTTGTTTATCTTATGTCTGTCAGCAATATTGTAAGTAACATTACAAATAAAAAACTAAATTTTGTTTATACTTTCATATTAATTTAGTATTTAAAGATCCTGTATGCTTTGTAATTGTGGTTGTATACCACACTTGCGTGAAACTATATATGTATATAATTATGCTAATACATCTATTTTCAAACATCGCAGAATATTTAAATATGTACTGCAAATATTTGTACATATTAAATGTAGTCATTTAATTATATGCATTCATTTCGTATTGGACAATTTGACTTAGAAGTTATAGAAAACAAATTTCTAATTACCTCCCTTTATTTTCATGAAATATTAAATTTTGTAATATCTTTATAAATAATGCTTTTTGGAACTTACAATATTGATAAATCTTAATTTGAGCATCATATTTTTTTATATAAATCCATAAAAAAAATGTGTTACAGGATCTTTAAAACATTTCGTTATTTACTGTATAATTCACTTGTAACATTTTATTATCAGTCAGATAAAGGTAACATAGAGGATCAAGTCTACGTTTTGTTGTTGCTTTTTTATTGTTTTATTTTGTCCTAGATGTCTTCAGAAGTGAAAAATATCGAGATATTATAATAAAAAAAGAATGTTGTAACTTTGAAATGTATCCTAAGATTACCTCCATTGCAAAGAAAACGGAAAAATATATCATACAAAAATATTTGTTGTTTTTATAGACGAAATGGTTTTCTTTTAAACACAACTACAAGTATTTAGTAACTGTTGTAATTTGACTGAATGTTATTAACATTATTTTAGTGTATTCGGCTGTAAATTATTTAAAGGTTTTCAATTTAAACATGATAAAGCTACAAATGTCATAATTGAAATTAAATAAATTATTAATAAGCTGATTATGAAAAAACCCGTGGCAGCAAATAAACTACGCAGAAAATATCCTTCTGTAGATTAAAACCAAGAGAGAGAAAATTGATGTAAGTAATCGAAATGAATATCATATTACCACTACACAATATATCAGCTTTTAAAAATTTAAACTATAGATATTTTTTTAAGCTTGACCTTATTACGTGTCACTGCTTTTACTTTACGCATCAAAGGCTTTATGTGTTGCTGCAGTTTTGTCACACATGTACTGGGGGAGGAAGACAATGAACAACCTACCGTAACCTAGCTTCAAACGTTCCGCACATGAAGAAATTCGCAGTAGTTGACCGGATTCGAATCAATAACGTAGAGGGGCAAGTGATTTATAATCGGCGATATAAACCACCATTGTCTCCATTTACAAAGGCATTAATATACTGGTTTCACCTATTTTTTTATTTAAAAAGACTAGTCTTTTTTTACCTGAAACTTGATAGAAGTTCTGGAATGGTTCGTAATTAGGATTCCTTGCTTCCTTAATGTATCAAAATTCATTATATTTTATTTTACCTATTTTACGAAATGGTATGCAGTTTATCGCATATCGCAATGTCCCTCAAATGTTCAAGTTGTATATGTTTTGATGATAGATGATAAATGTTCAACAATTCGAGTCATTGTAAGTATAAACGGCAAAGCAGTATTACAAGGGGGACCTATTAACCAGTCAATTTTATTTCAAATAAACCGTACAATTAAAAGAAAATATAGGGAAAACATTAAAAAACAGATCCTTAGGTCAAGAATTCTATGCCTAGGCGATTAAGGCCAGTTCAAATACAAGGTAACCATTTGCAGCTGGTATACCAGAAAATGTATGTACATTAATTTGCGAGGCTTGCCTATCCATTGATCAACAAAAATGAATTACGAAATTACATTATTGCTCCTCAAAATTTCAAAAAGGCAAAGCAATGTGGAGAAGGTTCTTTCTTGATAGATATATCACAAAGCTGTTAAACGATAGGGACCGCAATGGAAAAAAGGTTGACCCTTTTTTGAGTTATCCCTCATGTTTGTGTTATGTTATGTGTTATTTTACCATGCTTTTACATTATGCCAAAATAAATCTCATATCTTTCTTAAACAGAAGGATCTGGCCAGGAATTTCTATGACAACGATATCTCGTGTTTTACATGACCGGGTTTGTCAGACAAGACTAGACTTATGCACGTGTAATGGGAATACTTCATGACGGATTTTCTTTTGTTTTCAAAAGGTCTATCCGTAACAGATTGACCCGATATTAACAATAAACGAGGTGTGCAAGTGTCAGTAATGGTGCATAGTAATTCAACTTCATTGTGAACACGAATCCGTTACAAATAAAAGGAAGAAATGTTTAGTCATTTTCTTCCTCAATTGCCTGAGAAAATTGTCTGTTTCCGTTGACTGCAAATTAATTGATAAGTTGATCAAATAACATGATTAACCCATACCAAATATATAAGATATAAAAAGTGCCCAGTTTTTAAAAGTTTATGCTGAGCTAACATTGAGCAAAGGGATACTTGTGGTAACTTAAACAATGCAAAGTACAAAAACAAAATTTTAACATTTGTCATAGTTTTAAGTAAGCAAAGCTTAGCTGAATAAGGATTCTATTTGATCAGTTGTTGAAATCAGGGGAAAAGGGGCTGTTCCTCAGAAACAGTGAAAACATGATAAGAAAAGTGCGAACTCGGTATGATAAGTTTGTTTATGAGAGATAAAGTTACGTCTCTCACGTCCCACCCCTAAACCAGCAAAAGCGGTATTCAATCTTAGTAAATCACGTTAAAACAATGAGAACAACAACACTAAATATATATTTTATTCGGTTTATTTGTTTCATATTCATATACAACACTCTTCTGATATGATAAATAACATGTGCCCAGTCAGGTTCAAAGAAGAAACGAGCATAAAGAATGTTGGCCGTTTTTAAAATGTGTGTTTCATGGTGTAATTTTAAACCAGCTTGACACAAAGAAGGTATCGATAGTTTTATCGTCAAATGACATCGCACTAGCACGTGGAAAGCATGACAAAAGTAACTGTTTCTTTATACGAAAAACAGATAACGAAAAGCAGAATTACCTATTAAGACGAGAAAAAGCCCTTGCACTTAATTAATCCTTCGCCCTGCGTGCTCGAGTTTTAAATGCATACTCGTGCTTTTGCAGATAACAATGCATTAACTCGCTTTAATAATAGATTCTTCGTTTACATTTTATTGTGAAGTATTTTAATAAAAAACAAAAGACACGTTAAGAGACATTATAATGGCCTCAAAATATATCATATAAATAAAATATATTGACACGCTATATTGTCGTCTTTCAAACAAATCATATTGATATTAGTAATTAACTTGCCTTTCTGGTGGTGTCATATGTTAAATTCTAAGGACCACAATAGAAAATAGTCAACTTTATGCCTTCTTTTTGTGTCATCCTTAGTATTGCATATATATGGCATAAACACATGTACTTTCATGTTCACATGTATTTCTTGATGTTGATATTGATTTTGTAAGTGTTTTATGAAATGTATTTTTACCCAGAATCTATCTATGGTACGAGCGGGAACCTGTGTAGATTCACGGACGCTCCGTAAGCTAGCATGGTAGCTTTTTAATATGGACACGGTACAGTCGGCAGATTTTATACTTTTAGTAAAATATTTTTTTGAGAACATGTGTTCGAATGTGACAGAGTTTGTTCAGTTGATGAACACATCTTAGTGACATTTCCTTAATTAATATTTGGTACTCCATGTGCTTTATTTTAATGTGAATTGTGACACAAATATTGATATAATAAACGAAATTATCTATCATTAACAACACAATGAAAAATAAATAAATAAATATTAAGCAGATTCTTTTATTCCTTTTTTGAAAGCCAAAATCGTAATAAATGAAAACTATGGCAAAAAAATTTAAAACCCTGCATGAAATCACCTCCTGAAGGTAAGAGGATAATAAGATATTAAAAAAGAATATTTTAAAATTAATCAAAAAGATTGCCCAAAACAGTAAACTGTTTGTCATTTGAAGATAATATTTCTGCCAATACATATTAATATGTATTAGGTGTTGAATGAATATGGAAAATATCTTCAAACGAGCTATTAGCATTATCGTACTGTAATCAACCCTAAATGTACTTTACCAAATGTAAATTATTTAAAGGTTTTTAATGGAAACGAAAAAAACACACAAAAAAAACGCCATGCTAATAACTGAAAGAATTCAATGATAGATAAAGTAATTGATCGAGTTAAAAAGCCTTGATGTCACATAAACGTTGCTTCTGTAAAATACCAAATGAGAACAGTAACATTGAACATGATCTATACATTTAACTTTCAAGAGAGAGAGGCTATCTGATTAAAAATTCTTAATTTGAAGATATTTTTAAGCCATTTAAAATTCCGACACTAAATTTCCACCAAATATGAAGTGCAGAACAAAACTTAACAAGAGCCAAGTTAACATGGCCATCCCCGCTGAATGTGTTTGCTCATCGGAATAATATATATGTCGTAGAGCAGAATAATTCAATTTTAAGAGGTCTTTTGATAATGAAAACTGATGGCAAAGTGATAACAGATTTGAAACCTGTGTGAATATTGATGGCTGAAAATAACAAAGGGCAATAACTCAAAAATAATGCAGGGTAGGCTATTAATCTTGTGTGCTGCACTTCTCCTTAATTAGATCTATCCACCTATGATACCTCTAACACTTTAAAATAAGGCTCGGACAAAACTATGAAAAATAACAAAGGGCAATAACTAAAATATTATAAAGGGAAGAGTTATCATTCTTGCGCAAAGCTTTTCTCCTGCATAAGATCGATCAACCTATGAAGTTTCATGTTGACACCTCAAAGACGTTTTGAATTATGCGCAACTCGGGTGAAAAAATAATAAAGAACAATAACTAAAAAATTATGAAAGATACAGAAATCATTCTTGTGCACTGCACACCTCCTGAAATAGATCTATCCCTCTTTGAAGTTTCATGTTGATACCTCGAAGGCTTTTTGAGTTATGCTCTGCACAAAAATTAATTTTGAAAAATAACAAAGGGCAATAACTCAAAAATTATACAGAATAGTGTTATCATTCTAGGTAGTTTTGCCGAAATTTGACACCCATTTAAGTTTGACGAAACGC